GGCTTGTAGAAATAATCACAATATGGACGCTTAATTAGAAAGAACCAGTAAACCGATATATAACGTTGAAAGTAAGCCTATCCTGTGGTTCTACCACAAATTGTAGGCGGGCGACGAGACTGCAACGAGCATGACTATGACGTATTAGAAATACACGTACATGTACTATGAAGAATTAGAACAACAAATTGTATGCTATTTATAACGTTGTTTGTGGAACATCATTTCATATGCCGACAAATCACTTTTTTTTTCAGGCCAAAGTATAACACTTAGAATCTTTGACAGATCGGAAACTATGGTTCTGACTGAATAATTTGAAATAGGGGTCACGGGAGCAAGAAGTAAGGCAACTATTATGTAACTATGCTAGATCAGTTTACTGAACAGGATGAGATAAATCGAATACCGCAGTCGAACCCTCAGCCAATCAACACCAAAGATCGTGTATAACAAGATAGTTCACTCCTCTCTTTGAGCCAATTAAAAAAGTGTCCTCAAACTTCAGTTTACAATCTTTGTCAACACTTATTGCAGGCCGAATAATTATTACGTTTGACTTTTGTGCACTTGATGCACTGTGCACATCGAACACTTTACTCTTGTTGGAAACTATTTGAGCGGAATTTTTCATAGGCCTACTACGTGTAGTCTGTGTTCACATGTTTCAAGTTTCAAAGACCAAATCTAGAAATAAGACGAAGAGAGATACAATCTTCAATCAACAGATCTCAGAATATTATTATTCTACAGTTTTGATGGCACGAGCACATGGGAGTGAAAATGCACACGACTCTATTGCTATCTTTTGTCACTAACCCTTTTAGGGGGTGCCACAGAATTCTACACTTAGTGTAGAATTCTGTGGGGGGTGCCCATTAGCGAGATCGGGTCGCGGGTCGAGTCGGGTACGGTCAGTTTGGTCGAGGCTACCTTTAGTTCCGGTATCCTCGGTTTGGTAGTCGGGGTTAGCCAAATTGTGGGTGAAAAGCGGCCATCGTGGCACAAATCGATCGACGCAGCCAGTGACCGTCAAAAACAATTAATGTGTTTGTTTTCAAGGCTGCGAGTCGGGCGATCGTATGGTTTGCAGCCAATCACAACAAGGCTTTGTAACCTACGAGTCACGTGTCCATGTTGACACTGCGATGTCAAGGTCGGGCATTTCCGCGCGAAATACCGGGTCTACTAAAGTCTACTTCAACTTCCAGGTCGTTGGGTACAATCGTGGCGGGGTTATTTTTGTAGTGTACACTGAAACCACCAGAAAACGACCCGACCCGACCCGACCCGATCGAGCCAATTGGCACCCCCTATTACAGGCTAAATATTAAATGCCGGCAGTTCAATGAACCGTGTGGCAAGAGCATGACGCCAACTCGCCCATAGTGGCTTTGTGACCGAGAGATCGGATTGGACTTTGGTGGTTGTTAATCAACATTGGCATTTTGGGTAGTGTTGTTTCTCTGTGTGTGTCTT